TGGTTTGGTGCGAGGAGCAGGCACGGGCCGTACAGGACTGGATACACGCACCACTGGTTTGGTGCGGGGAGCAGGTACAGGGCATACCGGGCTGGGGATGCGCACTGGTGACACAGTGCGTAGGACCGGCGCAGGATATACTGGACCGTGGAGGCGCACTGGAGGTCTGGAGCGTAAAGCTGGCACAACCCGTCCTGGCTGGATGCCCACTTTCACACGGCACGTGCGGGGCGCTGGCACAGGACGCACTGGGCTGTGAAGGCACACTGGCGACACAGTGCGTATCTCCGCATAACCTGGTTCCACAATGAACACACGCTCCTTACAGCGAGTGCGGGTTGCTGGCTCTGCTAACCTCTGCTCTAACGACTGAGCTCTCTGCTGCTGGAGGGTTAATTCCTCTCTCAGCTTCTCTTGTTGCCTGGCCAGCTCCTCTCTCTGTGCAACCATTGACTCCTTCTCCCTAAAGGCCTCCTGCAGCGCCTCGTCTTGAAGGGAGCTCTCCTGCTCTATCTTCGCGATCAGCCCCCGTAAGGTGGTTGCCTCTTCTATCAGAGTGCTAATCTGCAAGTCTCTCCGAGCCTCCTGCTGCTTAGCCAACCACCCTGTGTGCCACCCCAAAAAAATGTATTGGGGTTGCCTCTCAGGCTTCCTTAGCGGTCGGCACCGTTGGCGTCGCCGTTGATCCTCTCCTACCTTGGCTTCTACCTTCGCCCAGGGTCCTTTACCTGCAAAAATCTCCTCCCAAGACCACATCTTCCCCACCTGTGTCCAGAGTGTTTGCTCCTCCTGGGCACGCTGCTTGGTCCGTTGGTGGTGGGATCTTCTGTCACGTTCGTTGAGTACAGGATTGGACCAAGGTGCAGCGTGGTATGCGTACATGTTCGTTTATTGAATAAACACCGAACAAAACAACAAACGCAACGTAACGTGAAGCTCTAAAGGCTAACATCAAACAAGCCAAACACACAGAAACAAGATCCCACAACATAGGTTGGCAACATGGCTGCCTAAGTATGATCCCCAATCAGAGACAATGATCGACAGCTGCCTCTGATTGGGAACCACACCCTGCCAACATAGAAATACAAAACATAGATCTTACACATAGATATTCACACCCTGACCAAACCAACTAAAGAAAACTGGTCTCTCAAGGCCAGGGCGTGACAGATATGGTGTTTTGTGCTAGTGCACATAATTACATTACCCGACCATCCCCTGAAAAACGAATCCCGTCCGAATAGGGCTTAAGGCAAGGGCTGTTTCCTCGTCTCTGCTGCTGCTGCCTCTGTCGTATTGTTCTCAATCCCAATATTTGGCATCAGCTACTCTTCCTGGGGTCCAGCAAAATTAAGGCAGTTTATAAAATTTTAAAAACATTACAATACATTCACAGATTTCACAACACACTGTGTGCCCTTAGGCCCCTACTCCACCACTACCACATATCTACAGTACAAAATCCATGTGTATAGTGCGTATGATATCGTGTGTGTGTATGCGTGTCTGTGCCTATGTTTGTGTTGCTTCACAGTCCCCGCTGTTCCAGAAGGTGTATTTCTATCTGTTTTTCAAATCTGATTCTACTGCTTGCATCAGTTACTTGATGTGGAATAGAGTTCCATGTAGTCATGGCTCTATGTAGTACTGTGCGTCTCCCATAGTCTGTTCTGGATTTGGGGACTGTGAAGAGACCTCTTGTGGCATGTCTTTTGGGGTATGCATGGGTGTCCGAGCTGTGCGCCCGTAGTTCAAACAGATAGCTCGGCGCACCCTGCATGTCAATGCCTCTCATAAACACAAGTAGTGATGAAGTCAATATCTCCTCCACCTTGAGCCAGAAGAGATTGACATGCATATTATTCATATTAGCTCTCTGTGTACAATGTCCCTAATATGCTGGTTAATTTTGCTATTATGCACATAGCATAATAAGGTGCCAATTCTACGGCGCACTGAAGATTGTTTCAGAACTGCGGACAGCGACCATATCCAACGCGGGAGAAAGCGCATTTCTTTTAAAATAATATTAGATTTATTTGTGATGCACCATTATTTTTTACATACTATAACCATATACAATTTCAGTATCACTTGTCGTAGAGTGATGGACTGTGTCATCCCTGTGGCCTCCGCAATGGAATAGTCCACTGAGACAGGTGCGAATCAGACAGGTGTGTTGTGACTGCTGGACTAAAGAAATCTCGGTCGACCAACAGCCTATCCACCAAACAATCGACCAGTCGACTAAATGGAGTCAGCCCTACTTTAGTTAATCTTATATTATGCTTTATCCGACCTCTCTCTTTCTCTCCTCATATTCACACGTGCAGACTATTTTAACTCTCTCGCTCTCTCTCACTTTCGCTCAGCCTTTGACGGGGAACACTGTTATGAGCCCTACTTGCCCCATGGGAATTTCAGCAGCAGTGACATCACCTTTCCGTTGGGCACCACAGTCACCTTCTCCTGCTCCCCAGGCTTTGTGATGGAGCAGGGCTCCGGGGTCATTGAGTGCGTGGACCCAAGCGATCCACACTGGAATGAGAGCGAGCCTGTGTGTAAAGGTAATACTATTGAATACTACCATTACATTATGATAATTTGTTTATAAAGCCACATTCATTCAATAAACCAAAAACAATAATACAAGTAATGTTACAATAACTTTTTTTCCCTGTGCCACTACCTCACTCCCTCTCTTCCCTCCCTCTATCTTGCTTTCTATCTTCCGCCCCTAACTCCCACTCTCTCTCCCCCACCCCCCTCTCAGCTTTATGTGGGGGAGAGTTGACCGATCCCTCCAGCACTGTTCTGTCCCCTGATTGGCCACAGAGCTACTCCAAGGGGCAGGACTGTGTGTGGCAGATCCATGGCAATGAGGAGAAACGCATCGAACTGGACATCCAGATGTAAGTTTGGCCTCACCAACACCCAACAGGCATCATTTTGGTCTTTGAAGCTGTGGTTGGAGCATTTGGGAGAGGGAATTGTTCTCCTTTAATTTTCCCATGCTTCTTTTGCCTCTAAAACCTCACTGCATAACGTGAGCGCTCCCTTTGCATATTTTTTTTTTACCACTACACAAGAGGTAAACTACTGGTCAAAAGCTTTAGAACACATACTCATTCAAGGGTTTTTCTTTATTTTTACTATTTTCTACATTGTAAAATAATAGTGAAAATATCAAAAAGGTCTGAAATAACACATATGGAATCATGTAGTAACCAAAAAAAGTGTTAAACTTTGAGATTCTTCAAATAGCCACCCTTTGCCTTGATGACAGCTTTGCACACTCTTGGCATTCTCTCAACCAGCTTCACCTGGAATGCTTTTCCAACAGTCTTGAAGGAGTTCCCATATGCTGAGCACTTGCTGGCTGCTTTTCCTTCACTCTGCGGTCCAACTCATCCCAAACAATCTCAATTTGGTTGAGGTCGGGGGATTGTGGAGGCCAGGTCATCTTATGCAGCACTCCATCACTCTGCTTCTTGGTAAAATAGCCCTTACACAGCCTGGAGGTGTGTTGGGTCATTGTCCTGTTGAAAAACAAATGATAGTCCCACTAAGCCCAAACCAGATGGGATGGCGTATCGCTGCAGAATGCTGTGGTAGCCATTCTGGTTAAGTGTGCCTTGAATTATAAATAAATCACTGACAGTGTCACCAGCAAAGCACCCCACACCATAACACCTCCTCCTCTATGCTTTACGGTGGGAAATACTCATGTGGAGATCATCCGTTCACCTACACCGTGTCTCACAAAGACACAGCGGTTGGAACCAAAAATCTCCAATTTGGACTCCAGACCAAAGGACACATTTCCACCGGTCTAATGTCCATTGCTCGTGTTTCTTGGCCCAAGCAAGTCTCTTCTTCTGATTGGTGTCCTTTAGTAGTGGTTTCTTTGCAGCAAATCGACCATGAAGGCCTGATTTCATACTGTCTCCTCTGAACAGTTGATGTTGAGATGTGTCTGTTACTTGAACTCTGTGAAGCATTTATTTGGGCTGCAATTTCTGAGGCTGGTAACATATCCTCTACAGCTCTGGGTCTTTCATTCCTGTGGCGGTCCTCATGAGAGCCAGTTACATCATAGCGCTTAATGGTTTTTGCAACTGCACTTAAAGAAACGTTCAAAGTTCTTGAAATGATCTGTATTGACTGACCTTCATGTCTTAAAGTAATGATGGACTGTCTTTTATCTTTGCTTATTTGAGCTGTTCTTGCCATAATATGGACGTGGTCTTTTACCAAATAGGGCTATCTTCTGTACACCCCCCTACTTAGTCACAACACAACTGATTGGCTCAAACGCATTAAGAAGGAAATAGATTCCACAAATTAACCTTTAACAAGTAACATCTGTTAATTGAAATGCATTCCAGTTGACTACCTCATGAAGCTGGTTGAGAGAATGCCAAGAGTGTGCAAAGCTGTTATCAAGGCAAAGGGTGGCTATTTGAAGAATCTCAAATATAAAATATATTTTGATTTGTTTAACACTTTTTTGGTTCTTACATGATTCTATATGTGTTATTTCATAGTTTTGATGTCTTCACTATTATTCTACAACGTAGAAAATAGTAAAAATAAAGAAAAACCCTGGAATGAGTAGGTGTGTCAACTTTTGACCGGTAGTGTATATGATGGAGATACAACTAAAAATAAGCATGTTTATGCTTCAGAAACGTGCATGTTTTGTAAGGAATATACTTAAAGCATAAAAGGAAGGTTGAACAATGTGAGCCTTGCGTTTCGCCGCCTCACTGATTGCTGCTTCCGTGGCCTCTCATTGATTATAATGGGTGCGTTTCAACTGCGACTGACGGACATAAAAAAAAAACTGATGTGATGCTTCCAGTGAAGTTTTTATCATAAGGATTAGAAATGACAATGATTGTGAGAAGATACATTTTATGATTCCATTTGAAGTGACATTGTGATTAAAGTGTAAGTTGTTTTCCTCTCTTCATGTATTTTGTCTCTCTCAAAGTTTGAATATCCGCCACAACGACGTTCTCACCATATTCGATGGTCACGACCTCATGTCCCATGTGATCGGCCAGTACCTGGGGTCACGAGAACGTTTCCAGGTCGTGTCAGGTGGTTCTGAGGTCACTATTCAGTTCCAGAGTGACCCCTCAGACTCCTCCTTTATTCTCAGCCAGGGCTTCCTTATTCACTACCATGGTACGTACACATACAGGACTTTTACATACAGGACATTACATACACATAAAGGACATAATATAAAGAACATTGATTGTCCATACATGACATCACACAAATACAATATGTACATTTTCCTAGCGTGTATTCAGTGAAGCAAAATGTTAACAGTACCAGTCAAAGGTTTGGACACACCGACTCATTCAAGGGTTTTTCTTTATTTTTACTATTTTCTACATTGTAGAATAATAGTGAAGACATCAAAACTATGAAATAACTTATATGGAATCATGTAGTAACCAAAAAAGTGTTAAACAAATCCAAATATATTTTATATTTTCGATTATTTAAAGTAGCCACCCTTTGCCTTGATGACAGCTTTGTACACTCTTGGCATTCTCTCAACCAGCTTCACCTGCAAGGCTTTTTCAACAGTCTTGAAGGAGGTCCCTCATATGCTGAGCACTTGTTGGCTGCTTTTACTTCACTCTGAGGTCCAACTCATCCCAAACACATGTGGAGATCATCCGTTCACCTACACCGTGTCTCACATAGACACAGCGGTTGGAACCTAAAATCTCCAATTTGGACTCCAGACCAAAGGACACATTTCCACCGGTCTAATGTCCATTGCTCGTGTTTCTTGGCCCAAGCAAGTCTCTTCTTCTTATTGGTGTCCTTTAGTAGTGGTTTCTTTGCAGCAATTCAACCATGAAGGCCTGATTTAACGCAGTCTCCTCTGAACAGTTGATGTTGAGATGTGTCTGTGACTTGAACTCTGTGAAGCATTTATTTGGGCTGCAATTTCTGAGGCTGGTAACTCTAATGAACTTATCCTCTGCAGCAGAGGTAACTCTGGGTCTTCCTTTCCTGTGGCGGTCCTCATGAGAGCCAGTTTCATCATAGCGCTTGATGGTTTTTGCGACTGCACTTGAAGAAACTTTCAAAGTTCTTGAAATGTTCCGTATTGACTGACCTTAATGTCTTAAAGTAGTGATGGACTGTCGTTTCTCTTTGCTTATTTGAGCTGTTCTTGCCATAATATGGACTTGGTCTTTTACCAAATAGGGCTATCTTCTGTATACCACCCCTTTCCTTGTCACAACACAACTGATTGGCTCAAACGCATTAAAAAGGAAAGAAATTCCACAAATTAACTTTTAACAAGGCACACCTGTTAATTGATATGCATTCCTCATGAAGCTGGTAGAGAGAATGCCTAGAGTGTGCAAAGCTGTCATCAAGGCAAAGTGTGGCTACTTTGAAGAATCTGAAATATAAAATATATTTTGATTTGTTTAACACTATTTTTTGGTTACTACATGATTCCAAATGTGTTATTTCATAGTTTTGATGTCTTCACTATTATTCTACAATGTAGAAAATAGTAAAAATAAAGAAAAACCCTTGAATAAGTAGGTGTGTCCAAACTTTTGACTGGGACTGTAATATGAACAGACAATACGATTACGTATTCTACTTCAATTGTGTGTTCTACACGATACATTTCAATCTGAATGTTCTGTAACGGTATATCCTCCTGAACAAGCACCTGGTTTATCCTACATCTAATGGCATCTTCTTTCTCATGCAGAGGTAGAGCCTAATGACACCTGCCCTGCCCTCCCTCAAATCGAATTTGGCTGGATTAGCTCCTCCCACAGCTCTCCCGTGAGGGGAAGTGTGTTGACCTATCAGTGCCAGCCAGGGTATGACATCAGTGGCTCTGACATCATCACTTGCCAATGGGATCTTTCCTGGAGTAACAGCCCACCCACCTGCATCAAAGGTGAGCTAAAGTGTGTTCCTGCCCGACTACATTGCTGACACATTCCAGATCATATGTTATAGCAATCTGGTGCCCGACGGCACAGTCAATGTGGCATGCAACCATTGGTTGATGCAATGCAACACCTGAGCAGGGGAACACAACCCTATACTTCCAACAACTCTTCAGATGTGTTTGAGAGCATCAATTTTGCTCCGTTTGAGATCACCGACTGAACATACTAGCTGATACCCGCATAGCTGATGTTTTGGTGGTGTCAGAGGTGGAACTGCATTGGAGCTGTCAAATCGGTGAACAGCTGCTGTTGATCATTGTCACGAAGCCACACCTGTCCCACTCACGGTATAAGTTCAGAACGAGAAAGTGTAGGCTATATAGAAATAATGACGCTCAAATAAAAAATCATTAAACTAAATAATGAGGATTTCTATCAGCCTAATCAAGGTGTAGATTACATCTCATATTCCAGTGTTCGAACTTGTAAGAAAGGCTACATGGGATTTCTCTTAATGCAACTCCGAGCAGCCAATGGCAATGTCCGCTTTAGGTATAATGCCAGGAGCCGTTTGTAGATTTGACAGCTCTAACGCAGTTCCACCTCCGACACCGCCAAAACAACCACTATGCAGATGTTGGCTAAATTGAATAGAGCCTTAGGTCATTTCAGACGCTTAAAGGGAAGATTGCAGAATTAGGTTGCTGTTAAACATTCTGATTGGTTTCATCCTTCCAATTAAAAGTCCCAATATGACATATCACTTTACATTTGTATTTTGGTAGAAATTTACATTTTATCAGAATTTGACCGAAGTCATGTTGGAAAAGCATTCGGAAAAGTGACATCAAGAGAAGAACACACGAGTGAATACACAGCAGGAGTGAAGCCACTGTCCACATAAGACAGTAAAGACCCACATCATACCGAGTCCTGATAGTTAAAAAAAATAATTTGCCACTGAATAAAACCAACTAATCATCTGACCGTATCCTGTGATTTCTTTATTCTGTATCAGCAAAAAATGGGTTTATCACTTATGGTGTGCAGGCTTTTAGCATAGCCCTTTTTACACCCCTGCTGGCTTACCCCTACTAGCTAACTACTAGTAGCCTTGAAACACATCACTTATTAGCACCTCAGCACATCAGCATTTCTCGTGCTGTTACACAAAATCAAGAAAGAAATGTACCATCATAGTAGACATTGAACTTCTATAACCAAACTGGCTAAAACTCTGTTGTTGGCCGATAGTATAGTGTCTTCCTTTAAAAGTTGGTGTCATACTGCAGCACAGCTTGCGCCGTGCTGCATAATTGTATGGCACGTTAGAGTGAATGACGTCATATTATTTTACTGTCAGCCATTGTTGCCATTATTGCTAGTTTGACCACCAGAGGGCATCTTTGAGAAGCTGTTATTGAAATGACATGGAGCTGTAGGCCGAAGAGTCCTGTTTACTGTAGCTGTTTTAGCGTAACTTACTTATTGGCATAAAGGCTTACTTCAATATACAGTTTATCAATCATTCATTGATTTGTGCATGTCATCACACAGCATACAAGTCATCCATGTCTTAAAATATGCGTGAAGAGCAAAATAATCCCAACATTTCCACACCCTAACTGTAGGCTAACCAATACCCAAACGGAGTATGTGAAAATAAAAATCTGATTGATTTATCAAGACCAGTCCCCATGCTTGTCTCAAAGCAGCGCAAAACAGTGCGAAATACAGTGCCTTGCAAAAGTATTCATCCCCCTTGGCGGTTTTCCTATTTTGTTGCATTACAACCTGTAATTTAAATGTCATGTAATGGACATACACAAAATGGTCCAAATTGGTGAAGTGAAATTAAAAAAATTCGTAAAAAACAAATAACGGAAAAGTGGTGCGTGCATATGTATTCACCCCTTTGCTATGAAGCCCCTAAATAAGATCTGGTGCAACCAATTACCTTCAGAAGTCCCATAATTAGTTAAATAAAGTCCACCTGTGTGCAATCTAAGTGTCACATGATCTGTCACATGAGCTCAGTATATATACACCTGTTCTGAAAGGCCCCAGAGTCTGGAACACCACTAAGCAAGGGGCACCACCAAGCAAGTGGCACCATGAAGACCAAGGAGCTCTCCAAACAGGTCAGGGACAAAGTTGTGGAGAAGTACAGATCAGGGTTGGGTTAAAAAAAATATCCAAAACATCCCACGGAGCACCAGTAAATCCATTATTAAAAAATGGAAAGAATATGTCACCACAACAAACCTGCCAAGAGAGGGCCGCCCACCAAAACTCACGGACCAGGCAAGGAGGGCATTAATCAGAGAGGTAACAAAGAGACCAAAGATAACACTGAAGGAGCTGCAAAGCTCCACAGCGGAGATTGAAGTATCTGTCCATAGGATATTTAAGCCGTACACTCCACAGAGCTGGGCTTTACGGAAGAGTGGCCAGAAAAAAGCCATTGCTTAAAAAAACAAATAAGCAAACAGGTTTGGTGTTTGCCAAAATGCATGTCGGAGACTCCCCAAACATATGGAAGAAGATACTCTGGTCATATGAGACTAAAATTGAGCTTTTTGGCCGTCAAGGAAAACGCTATGTCTGGGTCAAACCCAACAACTCTCCTCACCCCGAGAACACCCATGCTGTGGGGATGTTTTTCATCGGCAGGGACTGGGAAACTGGTCAGAATTGAAGGAATGATGGATGGCGCTAAATGTGAACACTATGTGGCTGTTGACCATAGGATGTTAAAACCCCCTAGAGTCGATTGACACACCCGTGCTGAACACAGTGACGTCATTTTGCCCCCTGTGTGTTTATGCTAGAGACTTACCGTTTTTTGTAGTGACTGCAGCTAAATAAACATCGGTCTTGTGAAAGCGGCCCTTTTCTACACATGAGAGGATCCGGATAAGAAATCATCACGAAATCATCTGTAAAACCCAAACCGTGTGCAAACTAATATGTCACCAATATCGAAAGGGGAGACTCTCACGAACAAGAAGGTGTCGGTTGTTCAGCTTTACAACGCACACAAGCTTCAGGGGAGTCGTCTGTAGGTAACCCAGTACCGGGATGTAAAAAGTTAATAGGGGGTAAATTGTGTCACGAATAACGTGACCACATTTTTTCATATATTTTTTTGGTATCTCACATATAGGACAGACACTTCAAAACCTTGTTACTTATGATTTGTTTTTGGACTGTCTGTTATTCAATGATTTTTTATGGGCTCTAGCAGTTTCAATAGGCTCAATGTTGCATCAAATAAAAAAATATATACTTTTTGTAGAATAAGTAAAAATAAAGAAAAAATGAGTAGGTGTTCTAAAACTTTTGTAGTGCATACCTACAGGGGTCCTAAAATTCAAAATCAAATGGCTAAATGATGAAACAATTCCATATGTTAGTTTAGTAGATATTGCGATCTAAGGGCTTAGACTTACAGGGGTTAAAGTGGCAACTACAGAATTTACATGAGCCAAGTGATAGACTCGAGTGCATAACTCTGTCAGCTAACTTGAGTCACAAATTTGATGATTTGAGACTCGACTTGACAGAAAATAAAATGACTTTACTTGGACTTGGAGCCTCAAGACTCTGGACTCAACTTTGACTTGAGACTGATGACTTGAAATTATCTGGCCAGGTTTTGTAATGTTTTGTCACTTATTTTGTGGCACAGAGACTACGTGGATTACTGTACACGCAGCCAGAGACAGTAGCCGCAGCATCGCCCATGCAAAAAAACCTGCAACAGATTGGCTAGTGAAACGCACACTCAGCACTCTGATTGGACCAGCAAACTGTCAATCAACACAGGTCGGGTGCTGAGCTAGCGAACATATTTGCTGTACAGCTATAGGATCTGGTGCAGAGCAAACATCAAATTATAAGAAAAGAGGATTGCCATAATAAATAAATATGCAGCTCCAAAAAATGTTGGTGATCAAGAATATTAACTGTTTACTTTGCAAGCTCATCAGCAATGGGGCAACAATTACTAGCATAGGCCTACTGGTATTTTGGTATGTAACAATTGTTTGAAATTGATAATCTACATATGAAGCTTGCATTTGGAATTTGTTTAAATGAATTATTACTATGACACTATATGCGCGGCTCTTCACTTGCTTTCTACAAACTCCCGCCAGTGGAGAGTGCTTTTTTTCTCTTGTTTAAATGCATAGGCCCTATGTGGTGAATATATATTCCATTTAATACTACAGTAATTGCTAGCATTTCATCATTCCATCCCGTACCGTTTATTGCAAATACATCTACACTCTGAGCACGTCAACCTGCCTTGCCTTCTGCTGATTTCATGACCTTACTACAGCTACAAGGTCACAATTACATACAGTGGCTTGCGAAAGTATTCATCTCCCTTGTCATTTTTCCTATTTTGTTGACTAACAAACTGGAATTAAAATTGATTTTTTTGTGGGTTTGTATCATTTGATTTACACAACATGCCTACCACTTTGAAGATGCAAAATATTTTCTCTTGTGAAACAAACAAAAAAGAAAACTTGAGCGTGCATAACTATTCACCCCCCCACCCCCAAAGTCAATACTTTGTAGAGCCACCTTTTGCAGCAATTACAGCTGCAAGTCTCTTGGGGTATGTCTCTATAAGCCTGGCACATCTAGCCACTGGGATTTTTGCCCATTCTTCAAGGCAAAACTGCTGATTGAGGTCTGAGCTTTGACTAGGCCATTCCAATACATTTAAATGTTTCCCCTTAAACCACTCAAGTGTTGCTTTAGCAGTATGCTTAGGGTCATTGTCCTGCTGGAAGGTGAACCTCCGTCCCAGTCTCAAATCTCTGGAAGACTGAAACAGGTTTCCCTCAAGGATTTCCCTGTATTTAGCGCCATCCATCATTCCTTCAATTCTGACCAGTTTCCCAGTCCCTGCCGATGAAAAACATCCCCACAGCATGGGTGTTCTCAGGGTGATGAGAGGTGTTTGGTTTGCGCCAGACATAGCGTTTTCCTTGATGGCCAAAAAGCTCAATTTTAGTCTCATCTGAC